TTTTCGGTAAAACCTTAAAACTGAATCAGTATATCCAGGTCAGTAACCAAGCCAACATATGGTATTCATCATTTATTGCAGAGCAGCTCCACATTGTTCATGATTATTGCCTGAAATTCAGAATCTCCTCTAAACTACAATTAGGATAAAACCTATCAGAAGCTTTCCAGAACATGTAACTGCAGCAAAACCCACCAGACACATCCTCTACTGCGAAGTGTTACACTTAACAGCCAGCTACAGAAATACCTGCAACTTGCAAAAAGTAAAGGGCATACCATTGCTTTGCATAAGTTCTACACACTGTGACTGACCAACAAACCCCTACAATGGAAGAAGGCTCAAATGGGCAAAGGTGATGTGCCCATGAAGCTCAGAGAATAATGCAAGGCAGGACTGACCACAGCTGTTGCTTTGTTTTAGATATACAGCTATAAACAGTTCAGTGGATCAACTGATGGTGTAAATGTTTCTCCCCAGTTCATTAAAAAAGTGTGAACATGTCCCTGAGTCAGTCAGATCAGCATACGGGGGAGTCAATACGTGGCTCAGCCCAAATTAAGAGTATAAAAACTAGCCAGCACACAAAAGAATTTTGAAGAGAGCAATGGGCTTGAGCTAGCTTCAACCCACATATTCCTTACGGGTGACTGGGGACGCTCAGCATCGTAACAGTGAGCATGTTATAGAGACAGGTAATGGGAATCACATTGAACTGTATACTGCAATTGCTATATTTTGCTAAATGTAACTTACATTTGTATTGTGATTTTGGTTTATTTTGTATCACTCTGCTGAATCAGAAAACCTGTGTAACAACTATCTTCAAATAAGTAAATTTGATAATACACATTACATCCTCTACACATGGAATATCTAAAATAACCTGATCAGAGAGTATGGGACTCTGACACACACTGTGATAATGAAAAATGACCCTGGCTGCCCTGTGACATTTGTGGACAAATATGATCTAGGAATAAATTAGAGTAAATAAAACCATCTTCTTTTTAAAACACGTTTTGCCCAATACTCCAAAACCAGCTGACTTGACAACATGATGGTGTTGCAGAAGCAGAAGCACTACTATTAATCCCGAGGATTAACAGCCAAATCAATCGACAATGCCATTTCCACAGTAAAAAGTTTGGCCATGATCGTTCTATCTATAGAGTATGTCCACATTCAAATACAAAATGCTTACATTGAAATTTCAGCTACAAAAAGGGAATTCTTTTTGTGGACTACACAAGTAGTTTTCCAGTTTCTGCTAACAGATTATAAGTACTTGGAGCACAAGTTTCCTTAATTTGTTTTGTGTCTGCAATGAATCCAACACGAAGTTGAGGACCAAATGGGAGAAGTAACATGCAAGTTAAAAGCCACTGTTAAGTCATATTGTGTGCTCTGAAGAAAAAAAAAAATTCCCTAAGATTAGAAAAAGTAGTAAGTTCTCCACGTAAAATTCACTGATGAATTTAGGCTTCCTGAAGCTATTCAGTGTCCCTCAAGCTATCGCGATATACCATTTCTCACAAAAAGTTCAAGAGTACTTGCCGTCTTATTAGCAAAACCAGAAGACGAGGTTAGAATTCTCTGTTCCAGCCTTGAGAAAAAAAGCAAATGAAGTGTCAAAATACTTAAAATGACAAAGCTTGGGAAAGCAAAAATATGGAGAGGAAGAGAAGAAAACTACATGGTAACACCAGCTAGACTACACTAGTATACCACACATCCTAACCAAGTGACAGAAAATGAAGTTGCCACTGTAGTGAATGATTCCAAGATGAAAGGAGGTTGGATACAGAGGCAGGTGCAGAAGGAGGACCTGTTGTGACCAGATGACCTTTAAAGGTCCCTTCCAATCCAAACTATTCTATGATTCTATGTTATAACATAATGCATTCATAAGAGGAAAAATTACGTTTACATTGCCACAATATCTTTGATATTTCCAGCTTTCAAAAACCAGAAATCGCACCAGTGATTAAGATGCACTGAAGTGGATTTTTGGTAACATGATTTTCATTCAGTGAGGGCATAAATCACACAGTTCAGACGGGAAAAAAAAAAAGGTGGCAGCAGCAGCACTTTTAGGAGCAGTAACAGGTAATCAGGAAATGAAGTAAAACGGCAAATATATCAGACAGAATGCAGGCCAACAAGGTTCCTAGTCAACTTATTTTACTCACTCATTCAGTATGTGGAAAAACCTTTACCTATATACAGTTCATCCTGGGAACCTGACAGCTCCCTTCAACAGCAGATCTGCACAGGTAAGGAACTGCACCTACACTACCGGCTAAAGAGTTCAAATAGAAAGTATGATGTTAAATAGGCCAAGGATATAAAGTAAGGCAAAAAGAGAATGAGGAGTGAATCAGACCTGAGAAAGTGAAACTGGCAGAAACTTGAGCTAAAGGAGAAGGTAATGATCCTCTGATAACACCTCAACACAAACCCACCATTTTAAGAGTACAGCTTTTAAGTGTACACTGTTTAAACAACATCCAGCTTTGTAATTCCTACTAAATGTTAAACTCAGTCAACATAATTTGTTCTCACACAACTTTCCAGTTCATTATATTACTCTTCTATGCTGGTTTCTTTCTGATCAATAAAACAAATAAATATGGACTGAGGGAATAAGCAGCAATAAACCACTTCCACAAAAAGCTTGGAAAGGGGTTTTAAATACCATGCTTAGCATTTTCATTCTTGGCTTGCGTACAGTACTTGATACAGGAAATCATTTAGATGCCAGGATAGATGGCCTCATAGGAAGTACACTGGCTTCTGCTGAAATCACTGGTAAAAAAACCAAAGTATTTGCCCAGAAATAGGAAATTTGGCCTGGCAAGAACTGCGTGTATTTTACATTTTTGATGTGCAAGTCACTGTGCACTATTCATTAAAGGCCTTTTGTTACACCTACCAAAAAAAAAAGGGCAGGGGGAAGGGCTAGCCCTTCTTCTTCTAAGTCCCACAAAAGCTAAGCTAATGCTCTTAATGCTATACATGTAGTACCATGACATTTACACAAAACAACTACTGCAGTCAACAAAATGGAAAACTATTCTTCCACAATATTAGACCAAAAAAAAAAAAATCAATGTTACAGCACGTTTTATTATAACATTACTTTTACAAAGGAGCCTTCCTAAGAGTCTCAGAACTCAGCTTTGAGAAAGTCACATGGTGTATAGGGTTCCATCATCAACTAAGTCAACACTATACATATGAAAACATAGTTTGTTGTACTGGTGCAGAAGCTGACTGAAAATTAGATGCTTACTAAATTCCTGCACCTAAGCAGCTGCACATGGAAAAGCTCAAAGAGGTTAAATCCCTTTTCCATGGTTATCTATTGAGAGAGTGGCAGAAAGAGAAGGCACCAAAACAAAACCCATTGACCAACCTCTATGATTATGCCCTTTAAAGTTTCTGCACTGCAAACTGGAGTCTAAATGCTAAATAAGGGACAGATTGCATTACTTAACCCAAATGGTCATCCAGTTTACCAAACTACAAGAGAATTCTCTATTAACATTTCAGTATACCTGGGTGGCAGATCTGGTCTCCCAGAACATCACACTGGCATGAAACTGGGGAAACAAAGCAAGCTGAGGAGGGCCTGTAAGAATTAGGACAGGAAAAACTAGTACCTATCCACAAAGTAATTCTTTCCTTCCTTCCATCCTGAGTACCTGGAGTTGTCTCAGCCTTCCTTCTCAACAGTGGTACAGTACGTCTGTTCTCAGATGAGGTTTTTATAGTAGGTTGTGACATTTGTCATAGGCCTAGCTCCTGCTTCTTTGCAGGAAACAAAGTCTAAATACAATCCAGCCAGGGAAAACACTGGTTAAATACTGAGGCCAGCATTCAAAGAATCTATGTGACCTTAAGAAGAGCCAAACTCCATACCAAAAGCAAATACTGTAATTACCCAGAATAAGTTGGTTCTTAGTAGCCATTGTCTGAAGCTTTTTAACTACATTGAATACTAACGTCTATGGACTGCTAACCATTTACTATGTTGTTCTTGAACTGCTAATGTGATTTCAAATGTATAATGTGGCAATGGCTGGATTTTGTTGGATTGGCCTCACTGCAGTAAACACTGCACTAAAAGTGAAGAAGTGGATAAACTTAAAATTGCTGTTTGGCAGAGAATGGATAATCAAGTATTCCTGCAGGCTACCATTACTCCACTAACTCAGATGGCCTGCATAGTCCACAGTTTGTCTATAGTGTGATTCACAGCATGCCTGTGCCTGCATCACCACGTCTGGGATGCCACTGTGGAAACAAAAAGCCTTGGCTCCTAACTCAGGGATATTACAGGATCACAGGACAATTTGGGTTGGAAGGGACCTCAGGATATTTCTAGGCCAACCTCCAAAGGGTCACTATAAGATCAGACCCAGGGTTGCTCAGGGTTGTATCCAAAAGGAACATGAAAACCTCCAAGGATGGAGACAGCACAACCTCTTTGGGCAGTATGTTCCAATGCTTACTTGTCCTCTTCATCAGTAAGTAATGAATGCAGTAGAGTAAAACAGAAGCCTCCCCATTACAAGTGATTTCACTCCCTATCAGGTACACTATGTGAATGAGACCCAGCAAGGCAGGCCAGTAAGAAGGTATCAAAAATGAGATTATTTACATACCTTTCAGCCAATCAGAATTATGTGCCCAACACAAATACTTTTCCTTTTCAAATCTCAAGGAAAAATGTATGAAAGGATGTCTTTGAAACAAACTGCGAAGCTGACCTAAAATTCCAACCCATGCACCGAAGGGCTGACCTGCTGTAGTGGAAGTTCACAGTACAGTTTCCCAGGAACAATTAACTGATGTTGGAAAAGAGGAATTAAATTTGTCAGAAGAAAAAATTCTGCAACAATCCAATGTACTCTTAAAAAAAAAGCCAACTAGGAAAAAAGTCCATGACCCACAAGCAGAACACAAAACACAGTGACAAGTCAATTTAATCTTACCTCAGCCTCACAAAGTGCCTGAAGACCCTGTAACACTATGGCAGCAGGTGAAGCTTGATCAGGTTTTGTGCATTCATTTAATATCTGGGAAATTGCAGCCAACATGTCTGCTCCATGCTGGTATGGCCTAAAGGCAAAAACATGAAGACAGAAGGCAATATTCATGCATACACAGAAGTTGTATTCTATACACAAAAATTCATTAAGTATTTGTTTTGTTTAAATGACAACTAAAACAGACTAAAACTGGGAGGAAAAAAAAAGATACAAGGGATGATATGATAGAGCGCTCTAAAGGCTCAGTGACACGGAGAATTAAATCAGCAGGCATCAAGTTCCAAATAAAAGATCACCAACTGGTTAAGCTATGGAAGTTTTTGTCCAAGGATGTTGTGTATGCTAAAAGATTACATCATTCAAGAAGTGACTGAGAAGGAAAACCCACGTGTGCTACTGAAGACACTATCCTTTGCTTCTTTGTTGTAGTCTTCCATAAGTACTCACTACTGTGTATTGGAGATTCTGGCAGCAAAAGACTTTTGGCCCTCCTACATCAGATAGGAACATTTTTCCAAATTTTTTGCCGCTGCGATGTCATTTGTCTCTCCTTCAATGACTGCCTGGGTTGCTTGTTTGCTTTCCAGTCTTTTAGTATCCATTCAATTTTATTGGGCGGTGGTGGGGGAGGTGTCAACTGCTGATTCAGCAGTTCCCCATACTGTCTGTAAGACGTTGGGTAAGTAGCACCTGGCTAGGTGATTTATATGCATGGAATATTCAGGCTTCCTCTATCTGCTCTCACTTTCTTCCAAATAATTTCTAAATGCACGAAGAACGTGCGTACTTCGAACTCTAACTACACCACTCACCTACACCACCAAAAAGAACATTACAGCTGCATTGAGATTTATCTCTCGGTTTTCACTTCTTTTTTTATTTCTTGAAAAATGTTGTTTAGCAAAATTAAAGATGGTTGAAGAGGTAAAGGAAAGGGTATTTTGTTTAAGAATTTTTTTTAGTTGATGATTGAAAGATATGTGAAACTTCCCAGTTGTTAGTAACTGACCTTCAAGAAGGAAAGTGAAAAGTGGAACCCAAAAAATAGGTGACAAAGAGAAAAGATGGCATTGTGCACACAAAACCAGGAAGTAACTGATAACGTGTTTAAAAATAATCTTTAGAGGATCTGTAAATTATTATCAAGTACTGATATTCACAGATTGTTAGAGCTGGAAAGGATCAATGTATAATCCAGTTAGACTTGGACAACTGTGTTCTGTGGTCAGTATTATATCTGAATAAAGACCAGTAATTTGCATGTGACAGAATATACTTCTCAGAAAAGCACCCAATCTTTCTTTGAATAGATCAAAAGTTAGACAGATCATTAGTTGTTTCTTCTAATGTTTCGTCAATTTCTTTTTATAATTTGGAATGCTTTAAGTTTCTACTCTGGATCAGTATCGGATGCGTGTTTTGTTTCAGGATGAAGACATTTTAACATTATTTATATGTGCTTTCTATTAGTTATAATATAAAACCCCAAACTTACTAGCTGCTGAGATTAGCAATGCCTAAGTCAGTATCTCATATAACTAGAAAAATATTACCCACAATTAATATAACAGAGTAGGTAAAAATAATTATGCAGCTTTTCTGAAAGAGAAAAAAAAATTGTTTTCCCTTACAAAGACGTAAGATGGGTAACACTTGTGCTTACCTCTGCTTACATATATCTCTTATACAAGCAGCTTTAGCAATCAGCTTCTCCCATTGAGCATCTTTGTCAACAGACAAAGAGGGCACATCAGACATCGCCAAGAACTTCTGCAATTCTGGGTAAATTCGATCCTAGAAATGATGTAATTTAAAAATTATCATCACACCTTCAAAAGCTGGTGACAGGATTTTCAATTGCTAGCACTTTTACATGACTTCTAAATACCCTTCTATGCATACCATACTTCGCTTTTCTTCATTATTGGAATCTAATGCTGCCTTGAGATCTAACTGGCTTTTCCAGACCAAATCTCTATTGCTACCTTATAAACAGAGAAGCAACTTATTGCCATGTAACTAAGGTTTTGTTCTTACTGTGCATTATGAAAAGCAGAAAGCTGTCCTTCAAACAATTTTTTTTCCCTAATTCTAGTCTGAGACCTGATGAAATGAAAAGCAGATTTCATGAAAGACATGCTATTGAAATTTTTCACTAAAACAGAATCAATATAGGCACCACTTCCACCATTTACTTTATACTGCTGATAATGAGATACTAGTATAAGCAATGTTCCAAAATTAATTTCCTCCCTTGGTTAGAGGTAATAAAGTTTTTCAACTATCTTAGTGACACTACAAGAATTTTCTAACCTGTCTTTCCCATAAGGATGTCATCAGCCGCAAAGTAATTGCTCTGAGCTCTGGCGTGCTCCCCAGCATGTGTATGGCACGTAGAATCTGAGCTACACAAACCTGGAAGAAATTTTTTAACAAAATGTCACTGTTTCTTTTTATGTCCCAGAACAAAGACTAATCTATAAATCATTACTCTACAACCAAGTACAACAAGGAGATAACTGTCCAACTGCAATGTCAGAAAGAAAATGGAAGTCATTTTCTGAAAAACTTTAGTGCATAGTAAGTCCAAGAGCATCTTCTTATGATATATATATAATGATGATACAGTGCAGACAAAGCATAATGTACATTTCACTCTTTAAAACAAATGTCATCCCATCCAAAGTATTAGAAAGTTATGCTGAAGCTTACAATCAGTTATTTTGAACAAACTATGCATTGCTCAGTCTAAATCATTTTTTATAATTAAATGACCTCTTCTTGATAGTTTTTGTTTTACCAAAAATTTTTTATTCTGACCTTGTGTACACCCAGTGTAGGCAATGTATACAATATATCCCTGTAAAGTGCAGGCTGCAAAGGTCTTCCCAATTTAAATATCAGAACGGGGATCAGATTTGGGACCTAAAATAAAACAAAAGCAGGAAAAAAACTTGGAATTAGGTTGCCAACACAGTATCCTACATAAGATAGTGAACTTCTCAGAACATAGTAGAAACTCCTACCTTTTTGATTATTTTTTCTGCTAATAGCAAAGAGAAAGGAAAATTCTGAAGTCTGTAACTTCACAGGACTTACAATTTCTCTCTTTTTAAGTTATCATTTTAAAAGCACCTTGTTATGCATGTTCAGCTGTAACCACTGCAATAATTTAATTTCCACAATAAATTCATTTTTACTTGAAATTCCATTACAAGCACACCGAAAGAAACATGTAATTGAAAATGGTACATTAAAATACATACCAAATCAATGAAGAAACTATTTCAACTCAGTTCTGTCATTACAGAGGAATTCTAATGATGCTACTATCATATCCCACAAACCTGTCATATAATACAATATAATTTACTGCATTCCAGAGAGCTGCCCCTGAAGTGACAACAAAGGAAAGGAGACTTACTTACTTCCTTCCATTCCCCTTTTATTTAGATCAGATTTTCAGTATTTTCATACCTGCAGGTCCTTCAGTTTTTTCTTGTGCACATTCATATCATTATGTTGTAAAATTAAATCTACTCATGATGGCCTCGCTTTTTTCCCTACTTGATTTTATGGATACTTAAAAGTAATTACACAGCACTGGTTTACATTCTGCCTTTATACAGTAGTAATGATTTTCACTTAGCCACATGGGTTAGTCTTCCACAGATAAAACTTGTGTTAAAAGATAATGTCATTCCCAAGAACAGAAAAGCTAGTTAGGAAATTTGGTATTTAGCAGTAGTAAGTGGACACAATTATTTTTGAGTCTTCTCATTTTCAGAAAATTATTTTCCTTACATTGTAAACAGGGTATAGAGTTCTCCGTTTCACTTTTAGTGTTTACCTCTGGAGCAAGTCACCCTTGGAAGAGTTTTTTTCCTCTTTAACGTCAAATTACTGTAACTTTAGAAAACTCATTCAGTAAGTCCAAGATTGGAGGCTTAAAGCAGGAGAACAAATGTGTATTAAATCCCATACATACTGGGCTGAGCTAAAAGACTGAGCAACTCTCAAACCCAACGTTTACAAGATTGGATCCAATCTTTAATCCAATCTATAATTCAGCAATCTTATACCTCTGAAAATTTATCCTGATAAAGCTGACCCTTTATATATATATGGGTAGTTTATACATACAGTGGTTCAAAAAACTATTAATGGGAAATTCTGCTACAACATTCTCTCAATATGCATATTTACATGAGCAAATGTCTTCAGATGATAAAATTTTTCTCTATACAAAGGTCTGTCTCAGTCCACAGAAGCTACAGACAACAATAATGAATAAAAATCCAAGAGCTCTGGGATTTTGCATAATTCCTTCTGTAATTACTGGTTCCAAATTATAGACCAAAAAAAATACTGTTTGTTCTACAAGACATCACTATCTTTACAGTTGAGCAATACGAATTCGTGCTTCTACAAACTTAAAAACTTTGTTCTGGAATCTATATTTAATGCGTAAGGAATTAACTATAATACATGATTTTTTCCAGTTTTCCAAATACTACCTGACATTCTTAAATGGAATAAATTCCTTTATAAACCAAAACTTCCCCACATTTTTGACTAATTGACTAGTCTCCCTCCCGCTATTTCCCCAAGTTGTTGTCTACCATCTGTAGAGGTAGTCATCACCCCATCACCTGTCTAGACAGAAGACTGGCTTTACTGTAAATCTTTCAAAGCAAAATCAGTAGAAGTGGCTGAGAATTTAAGGTAGTATTCATTTGAGCAGACTGTCACACCCAGGAGCACTTTCAATACAATTTTAACAGTGCCCTGCTTTTCCACCTGTTTATTCCAAACCGAAAGCATCTTCTTAGCTAGCACCCTCCCTCCCCTTTCTTTCAGACCTTTGGATTGAAGATAAGTCGGGCATTTTTCCAGCTTTTGTTGTGTGCTGGTTTTGGCTGGGACAGAATTAGGTTTCTTCATAGTAGCTTGTATGTTTTGCATTTGTGACCAAAACAGTGCTGATAACACAGGGATGTTTTAGTTACTGCTGAGCAGCATTCACACAGCATCAAGGCCTTTTCTGCTTCTCAGGCTGCCCTGCTAGCAAGTAGGCTGGGGGTGCACAAGAAGTTGGGAGGGGACACAGCCAGGACAGCTGACCCGAACTGACCAAAGGGATATTCCATACCATACGATGTCGTGCTCAGCAATAAAACTGGAAGAAGAAGGAAAAAGGGAGGACGTTCAGAGTTATGGTGTTTGTCTTCCCAAGTAACCATTACAAATGATGAAGCCCTGCTTTCCTGGACGTGGCTGAACACCTGCCTGCTGATGGGAAGGAGTGAATGAATTGCTTGTTTTGCTTTGCTTGCATGCGCAGCTTTTGCTTTACCTGTCTTTATCTCAACCCATAAGTTTTGTCACTTTGACCCTTCCGATTCTCTCCCCCATCCCACCCAGGGCGGGGGGGGGAGTGAGTGAGCGGCTGCGTGAGGCTCAGCTGCCCTCCGGGGTTAAACCACGACATGTACAAATTAAATTTTTTTACATTATCTTGTACATAAAAACTGAATGTCAGATGAGCAAAACAGAAATAAAGTATCAGAGATACCGATGAGACAGGATCTGTCAAGCTAAAACTTCATATGAAGCACAAATATTTGAACGAGAACATTCAATCCTCCAATTATACAAACATAATGACTAGTTTTCTAAATAAAAACTGTAGGGAGCAAGACTTCTTCCATTAGATGAATTAAAAATTTTTATACACAGAAAATGTAAATTGCAAATGGGTTAATTAAACATCCTGCCTTACACATATCACAAGGCTGTTAGATTTACGCAAGCAGAAGACTGTAGATGCTTTTTTAGGAATCTAGGCTGCAACTGTAGGTGTCAAAAGCCAGTGTGGAATAAAATACATCAATCAGTTTTTAGGATTTCAGAAATAATCAAGTGAATGTTATTTGTTTATCTAACTGTGCATAGATCAGCATACAAGGTGGTGGTGAGAAGAGCTCAGCTGAATATGCAAAGCTCTAAGTGACAAATTTAGCTTTTCATCTCAAGCATTCCTCTGGCTTTGTTTTTTTGCAGGGGTTTTTGGTTTTGCTTCTTCATTCCCAAAAGCTGAATCTACAATAAACAGTACTATTATGTTAAAGTAAGGGTAAAATGGATGGACCACAAGAAAGAGTGACCCACCAGGATTTGGTTTTACATCATATTCTCCAGAGCCTTGCCCCAGCGTGAACGTTCCCAACCAGCATTCTTAACCAACACGCTCCCAGGCCAACCTAACAACCTTGTCTCAGCAGACCAAAGTAGCCCAGAAAGTTGTAGGCAGAGATAATTTTAATGTATTTCTAAATTACCATTAACTGTATAAAGTGACACCCATTTTGTAACAATTCAAGGTAGGTTATGAGATGGATACCACTCCTCCTGTTTAAGTAGCCATAAACCTGACTTGCACCAGAACAGTTGTGGTTCTTTGCAAGTTGCTCTGAAATTATCAATCTGCCTTCCTCTCATGAAAAACTTAACTCATCCAGAATAAAAAGTCATGCAGAAGAAAGACTAAAATATAATGAGAGATAAGATACTTCTGGGAGTAACATACTACCCAAGAAGCAACGCACCTCGCAGTTCTTAGATTCTCTTAGATTTTCTCTCATATGACAACAAGTAAGAACCTTTTAAACCCCAAACTCCTTTCAGACCTATCACATGGGTCTACACCACGGAAGTCAAAGGAGTGAGTCCACATAAAACCCACCTCACAGCATCACCTTGGAACAGGGCTTTAATGCAACTTGGGGAAGGGAGCTCCTCAGTAATTCTCTGAACTACCTTTTCTTCTCTGTTCAAAAGAAGTTTTTTTTTTTTCTCCTCCCCCCCTGGTTTTATTCTCATCACAGCTTAACTGCTATTTCAGACAGGTGTAGCAATTGGGATCTTTCTCCCCCACCCCACTCTTTGGGGGCTTCCCTGAATTTATCCCATCATGTGCCTTAATCAGCACATTCCTCCTAGCTTAAATGTCTTTGAAATGCTTGGTCACACTTTCAAGACCACCATCACAATATTTTACAAATCCTGCATCATAAGGAGTATTCCTTGTTATCACAATATTCTTTAAAGTACAAAAGCAGGTGGGGAAAGCAAGTTATTCCAAACTCACCAGCACATGGCAGAGTTTGATTAACATCTATTCTGGTCCCAGCCAAAATTCAGTAACAAGATGTCTGCATTAAGATTGAAAAACAGAAAGATGAAACCTTCACTCAAAACATGAGATTTAATTTGCTGCCCTATCTTTCCTTTCCACTGCCCCACTGTAATGATTTGTTGAGACTAACCTATGCACAATGCAGCTGTATTTCCCACTTTATCCATGCCAAAGGGACAACAGCACTGCCTAAGAGAAAATTATGTTCGTTAGTATACAGGAAGAAAACTAAAATTAACCTCCTGATTAAATTAAATAGAACCCAAAAGAAGACTTGAGTACCAAAGGCTCAACATCCTCAAAGCAAGAACCTGTTTTGGTTAAATCAAGCCTTAGGGAAGGGGAAGCTTGCACAGAAAGCAAATAATACAGGAAGAAAAAAAAAAAAATCCCCTTGAAGCTAGAAAACTTGATAGATGGAAGCAGTTTTATTTCTGGGCACCTGTTGTACCTTGAGTGTTAAGAAAAAAAAACCCAACTGCTTTACTGTTACCTAAATCTTTTAATGATACAGGGCAAATCACAGGGTGATGAGCAAGCAATGGACGTTCCACACCTCCGAGGGGGGATGGGCAATCATTAACACCAACACAGCAACCTGCATCACCATTTTAAGTCCCAAAATTGTAACAGAGGTCACGCGTGCTCCTCCACTAAGAATCTAAGTTTTCGATACAACTGTTAACACAATGTGTGAACAGAGATAATATTATTACAATATTAATAA